GTTTCAGAACTTCCACCCTGTTGAATCTTGATTTCGTGTGACAAGTAAAACAAATTATAGAAAATTTTGAAATTTACTAATTACATTACGATATATGAGAAAATCATATTTCAAACGCCTATAACTCAAAACTTGTAAATTCTCGTTAAATTGTTTTTCATATACCTCGCATTATCTCAGTGAATACAACGTTTATCAAAAAAATACTTGAAATAATGTCGATGCGCCTATGTTTCAAGATGCGAATGGTTCTTCGATTTTGAAAATCGAAGCATAAATAAGGAAGATATTGAGAAAATCATAATGCAATGCAGGTACCACGGACGAACGCGTTTCGCCGCATTCGTACCCCTACTCTCCCCGCAATACCCGCGGCTATCATGGTTCCTACGCTTTCGTTATACACATCAACATTGAGGCGTTGACCATTGCATCTAATGGTGACTTATTTTGAATTAATTATTCGATATTTGGTACTGTGTGTTCTGTTTCAATAATTAAATAAGTATTGATTAGCTAACGAAATCTATTATTGTAAATTTATCATAAAATATATCTCTCTCTTCTCTAGATAAAAGATGGAAAGTACTAGCAATTCAGACACTGATCTTGAATATGTCTTGAAGTTGAAGATTCCTTTCCAGCAGAGTACAGAATCATCGAGAAAATGTTTTATTTGTGGAAAAGATGGTCAACTCCTTCGTTGTACAGAATTATCGATAAAAACATTTGAAAGTTGTATATGAATATAAGAAAAAACCTCGGAAAAAACTATGCGAGGCAAATCGATATGGAACTTCAGAGAATTGATGATATTTCAATGAAAATAAAGGTCAATCGATCTTCTGGCACAGGAATATTGAAAACTGGAGACAATAATGTCAGGAATAAAACGCTTACTATAGTGAAATTGATGTCAAGTTATTTTTGATGTGTCTAAAAGAATTTTCTACCAAAAACGTTCAAATAAGAGTCAAGTTTTGACCTAGTATTGACTACCAACATTGTTTATTGCCATGGAAGTCAAGTATCATAACAATCTTTGTCATAACCAATGCTTTGTATCGAATTGGAAACATTATAGAGGATCACTGAGTGAGAATAAAGTTGTCATATCACACATGACAAAGAATTTGATAATCTGATAAAATCAATAGATGGTGCAGATTTTCTAATGAAAGAGGGTATACTTTCAACTGTTTATTTCAAAAATATGCCGAACTTGGTGGCAAAACTGGTAGGAGAATCTTAATCGAAGATTACTGTCTGTAGGTTAATCGAGAGGGTGAAACATTCATTTTACTTGATTTTTTGGGATTTTCTCTCCTCGTTTCTTTGGACGTTTCGGCAACGAATCTGCTTCCGTTCGCAACATGAAAATGCAACTTCCAAAGAAAAATGTTTTGCATTTTTATGTTGAGAACGGGAGCATATTCGTTCCCGAAACGTCCAGAGAAACGAGGATGGAAAATCTCGAAAAATCAAGTAAAATGAATTTATCGAAGAAATCAGAAAGCACAAGAAAATAGAAATTATCAAATAAATCAAAACGTTCTAATGAGTCGTAATTTGTGATTACAAGTGACAAAAACTCATCTGTTTTATACACATATAAAGAACAAAGTGAAATTACAGAAGATAACTCCCCTGACTTTGTATGCATCAGATATATGACCCAGATACACAAACTTTTTTGAGATATTTATCAAGATATGAGAGATATTCCAGATTATAAACAACTCAAAAATATGGATGTCAAGGCTTACAAGGATATGATACCAAAAAAACTTTTTTAAATTAGTTGCCTTATTCACGATAAAGTTGATTCAGTTGATTCAAAGGTGTTGAGTATCTGATGTCAAGGTATAATACTCGCTAATTCGAAATTCAAAAAACTCACACCGAAACACGTTGGTTTGGGAATAATGATTCATCAAGAGACATGATCGAAAAAAATTATCGTAGCTTTGTGTTCTTGTGGACACTGTATCGTATATTTACGTGTATTTACAACTTCGCAATTCGAAAGGTATCAAATAATGTTTTTTTTTTCAAGTTTCCACAAGGATATCTTATTTTTATTTCAATATTATATTCATCATGTTTTGTTTCAATATTTGTCAATTTGTTTATAAATGAGATGGTAGACATTTTACACTGATATGGATAAGAAATGTACTTTCGAGATAGAATCATTCATAAAATAAATGGAGGGCACTTCCAATCAAACAGCAAGTTAAAATAAAGTTCTGTTAACTTGGAAAATAGCGATCAATTCCATTTCTCCCGTGAATTCCAAGATCGTACTATTCTGTAACACTCAGTAATTCATATTTACGGTGATCGTACTAGGACGGCTGCGGGCGTTGCGGGGAGAATCGGGGTATGAAAGCGGCGAGTCGCCGTCCTTCGTACTACCTGCATTGTATTATGATTTTCCCAATATCTTCCTTATTTATGCTTCGATTTTCGAAATCGAAGAACCATTCGCATCTTGAAACATAGGCGCATCGACATTATTTCGAGTATTTTTTTGATAAACGTTATAGTTACTGAGATAATGCGAGGTATATGAAAAGCAATTTAACGAAAATTTACAAGTTTCGAGTTATAGCCGTTCGAAATATGATGTTCTCATATACCGTAATGTAATTGGTGAATTTCAAAATTTTCTATAATTTGTTCTACTTGTCACACGAAATCAAGATTCGACAGGGTGGAAGTTCTGGAACCCATCAATATTTTCCACGAATAAAAAAAATATCCATATTTTTTTATAAATTACCCCCTACCCCCCAAACGCACAGGACGATTTTTTGACGACAAGTGGATCCATGATCTGGAGATGGTAGGTAACAATTCTAGCCATGTCACAGCTTTTTACCTCTGATTTCCCACCAACTTTTGATCTAAGCGTCTTACGGTTCGTTTGGCACTCTACTATGATGGCAATTCTGAAATAGTAATAGAATTCTGAGAAACATTGCTCATTTGAACGACTGTGTAGCTCTTATATAATAACCGAGATAGCAATACATACAGCACCAATCTGGGACAAAGTGTATAGCAAAACAACGTTTGCCTGGAATATAAATAGCGTTTCATTTCACCCTAAAATGCCCTATGCTTTGCTTTCAATTTTATAACCGTACCACCCGTACTGACCCTGACCACCGCGCCCAAGTGGTTCTAAAAATAGATAAGATGAGATAAGTAAAATGAAAATAACCAGCGGGCCAAATCAACACCCGTATACATTGCTTGCGGATTCGCCGTGGAAGGGGTTCTGAATTCTCTGCCTACCGCCGTCACCCTCTCGCACCTCATTCCTCAGGTGATCGCACTAATTAATTTTTTACCATAATTATAGTGAGTTACCCAGTAACAGGTAGAAGACTGTGATTATTTTTCCGTAATGTGAAATTCTCAACATGTTTCATTGTATTCTTCTTTATTCTGAGCGCCATCTAATAATGATAATTAGAATCAAAATTTTGCAACGCCATCTATAAGACAGAAGCTGAACTAATGTACCCCTGAATAGGCCTGAATTCAGACACGATTTATGTAGGTCGCCACCAATTATCGACGCCATATTGTTAATTTTGGATTTTTTCCCGTTTTCTTTGGAACGGTGTGATTTTGGAAACCAGAATTTGGGCAGGGTATGGCATTTTAGTGTATCTAGGAGTTAAACCAATTTTCATTAAAATCTGTGACACAAAATTTCCCAATGTTTACATTTTTCAGTCATCGCCTGCTTTCTTCAACAAACGAGTTTGATTTCGAAAATTACTTTAACTCCTAGCTTGATCTTTCGTCCTTACGATCATCCAAACCGTTTTTCATTTGGACTTTTCGTTTGGCAGAAAATGGGGCTGGAAAATAGGTCTGCATAGCGATTGTCGTGAATCGTCGGTCTTAATAGTTGCTTGACTATCGTGAACTGGTGAACTGGTGAATGCGCTCATATCGTGCAATCTATCAAGAATTACAAACTCCTATTCCAGTTCCACCTTCCACATAGCTAGATCAGTTAGACAAGTGATACGTAATGAACGAATTACCAACGAAGACCTTGGCTTTAATCAACTAAAAACTAGACATAATCATATGCAAGACGTGACATTGACAACTGAGTAAAATCTAACAAGACAGTACAGGGAGATTCATATCATTCTTCCCCTCTAGATTTTTCATTGTCCACTTCGAAATTTTGGAGATAAGCAGGGGGCCTTCTGTTCCTATGAGACCTCCGAGGTTCCTCTAACTCTGCCGGTGCCTCATCAGATTCCTCCTGTGACAAAATTGAAGAACCTGGCAAACTGAGTTGTTCAGTTTCTTCAGAAGGAAGACATTCCTCAGAGTGATCAGTGTCATCGATAATTGGAAGTGGTGCCAATCGTCTATTAGACACCGTCACTGTTTCGCCATCGTTTCGTCTGATGAAAGAATATTGGGGATTACTTTCGAGGAGTTCTACTTCCTCGACTATTGGCTCTGTCTTCGAATGGCGAACGTTCTTTTTCATCAGTACAGGTCCCGGTATCAACCAGGTAGGTAATGAGTCTCCGTTAGGGGATCTCCGTGCATAAGTGAAAAGCCGCTCGTGTGGTGTAGCATTAGTCGAGGTGTACGAAAGTGAGCGTACACAGTGCAGCGCATCCTTCATTACTACTTCCCAGTTTTCTATAGGCAGATTCTTGGATCGTAGACTAAGTTGTATGGTACGCCAGAGAGTTCCGTTAAGACGGTCCACTTGTCCATTTCCTTGTGGGTTGTAGGGAGTCGTCCTAGATGAAGCTATGTTGGAGTTCTTCAAGAAGGTTTTGAACTCTTCAGAAATGAAGGAAGAACCTCTATCACTGTGTATATATAACGGTTGCTCAAAAGTGACAAAAAAAGATCTCTCAGACAGTTTATGACGGTGGTCGAAGTCATATCCTTACAAGCTCACTAGATTACTCTCTATCTAGACTCTAGACTATCTCATGTTCCAGGGCTGATGGCGTGGTCGCCGATCTCGATGGGGTTCACGCAAGGCAGAGAAGAAGGCAGCAGCGGATGCAGCGTTCAGCTGTTCTCCAGGGCCAGCTTCCGCAACAAGTACAGCTCCTTCTCGTGGACTGAAGACGAAACGGCGGCGGTAAACAAAGAAGTAAGGATGCAAAAGTTCTTTCGAAAAAGTCACGAAACGTCAAAATTTCAGGTAAAAGTTGAACAACAAACATTTCTCGTATGGATCCAATGTGGATGGGTGGGTTTTCACTCCATACTTAGGGAAAACATTTCGTCAATCTGGGATATTGATTATGAATCAGGAAAAGCAGAAAACTTCTGGTACTTGATACGAGTTTCGTTAGCTCATATTGTTTTGGAATGTTTTCATCACTACCCCTACCAGATCATAGGAATTTCCTTGTTACTTGTGCGCGAAAAACATTTATATAATATTCTCGCAAAATATGAGTGGTGGGTGACACAATATGAAAATTTTAGTTTTTTTTTTTCGGAGTATTCAGTAAGTTTGTACAAAATCATACATCAAATTGCACTATTCATTGTGAAAATGAAGAAATATTGAAAAATAATAATTGATTGATCTGATGGGGGAAATAATTGTTGTCATGTCAATCAAAGCACAAGTTAGTTAGTGTAATTCTCAGAGTGACAGACAGAGCGTTACTGTCATTTTCGATTCAGTGGAATTGCGATAAAAAACTTCCAGCTACAGATGCGATACAGATGAGTTATTGCCCCAACGAAGTCTTAAGAGAGGTATGAGAAGCACTACATGGAATTTATTGAATGGTGTAACAGAAAAAAAGTGAAAACATCAAATATACAGGGTGTTTCAAAAAAACCTAACCCCCTCGCTAGGGTAGGTAGAACGCTGCAAAATAAGTTGAGTTTGCTCAATTAAAAAAATGTCGTAACGGCATTCGTTTTCATGATACAAGGTGATGAAAAAATGATTTTTTACACATTTTTCACGATTATGTCGAAACTACTGTTAACATTGTAATGAAATTTCGTATGTATATTTCTTGAAATCTGACATATCACATGAATTTGTTTTTATATCTAACTCTCATAGAGGGTGCTAGTTACAGGGTTCGTACCGAGTAGTTTAGCACATAACTTTTTTGAGGTTATATTTCTCAATCCAAATATGATATGAACACGAACATCATTCAATTTCACACCAAAAAGGTACTCTTGGTGAAACTCGATACTATGTTCCGTTTTACGAATATTTCGATTTTAAAATAATGGAGTAATAGCTGAAGCTGGTATAAAATGAATTTCATTGAGTTCTATTACCAATTTATTCAGATTCAAAAACAATAAAATCATTCTTATGCTGAAGTTATTGATGGACCGAAGAATCATAGGTATGGAAAATTGAGGGATATTTGAATCAGTTAGAGTAAATGTTCAAAATTTCGTTTCGAAGAAAAAACGATTCTATATTCTTTTCTTAAGAATGTATTATTTTTCTCAACAGTTGAGGATCAGCTGTTAGGTCATTTTAGTGATGTTCAATTATGTCTTACAACTCTTGACGTGAATTTACCTATGTAGCATAGACTTTCTGCTCAAGATACAAAAAAACTGTGTAATCCATGTTCCTAGTCAAATCTGTTTCGATGTTATTCTTGTGATTCATTGTTGAATCAATAAGTTCAGCATCAGTAATGTATTGTTGTAATTTTTCATAATACTCACTCTAATACATAGCTTTATACCAGCAACAGTTATCACTTCATCATTTTAAAATCGAAATATTCCGAAATCGGAACACAGTATCGAGTTTCACCAGGAGTACCTTTTTGGTGTGGAATTGAATGATGTTCAAGCTCACATCAAATTTAGATCGAAAAATCTAACCTCAAAACAGTTATGTTCAAAACTACTCGGTACGAACCGTGTAACTAGCGCCCTCTATGAGAGTCAGATATAAAAACGAATGCATGCGATGTGTCAGATTCCAAGAAACATCCATACAAAATTTCACTACAATGTTGCCAGTAGTTTCGACATAATCTTGAAAAATGTGTAATCATTTTTTCAACACATTGTATCTTGATAACCGATGCCGTTACGAATTTTTTTTTACTGAGTGAACCCAACTTATTTTGCAGTGTTCTACCTACCCTAGTGAGGGGGTCAGGTTTTTTTGAAACACACTGTATTATGAAGACCTATTTTTGGCTCATTTTCTATCAATGTCTGAAACCTAGAGGCCAAACACCGTGGATGCTGGCTTCCGCAATAATCTTATCTACATAATGCTTCAAACGGTACACACAATAGATATAGGTATCACTAATTATTAGAAGATAGAGAATATATCACTATTGTTAGTTGTTCCCATTTGCAGGAAGAATTGATTGAACAAATCAATCAATTTCCTACGCTTGTAGAAAAACTGTTGATCCTAACTCATGCGGAAAGTGTCTTTGCCGCACTCGACTGCTTGCCCGAACTCCGCTTCGCGTCGTTCGGGTCAAAGGCATTATCGCTTGCGGGAAAGTATCACTTTCCGCACTTGTTAGGAAAATCACTATTCTGGATTACACGCCTACTACAGTTCCTTCATCAACTCGATGTTCTTCAAAAACAGAACACGGGCATAAAATGAGCCCAAAAACTATCGAACAATAATCAACAGGTTTGTTGTTCACCTTTGACCCCAAAGACCGCACGCTGCCTGATTTTCGTAAATCATTCTCTTAATCGATATTTTCCAGAGTTACAGCTGGATGAAGGATAGGATACAGCCCGAAGAATCCCGAAGACAGACGGAGAGAGTGCGAGAATTGAACGCTCTGGCGGAAAAACTTGGGTGTACATTGACTCAGCTCGCCATATCGTGGTGCCTCAAAAACGAATCAGTGCAATGCCTGTTGCTTGGAGCGACCTCTGTCGAGCAGCTGTACGACAATATACAATCGTTACAGGTAGATGGATAGATAGATTCTTTATTGTTCTTCAAACTGGATCGGACTATGACCTTGATATCATTTTTAGCTGATTCCTAAACTCAACACCACGATGGTTGCGGAAATTGAACGTATTTTAGAAAACAAACCGACCAGACCTCCCATGGTTTCCACATTGGCGCTTAGATGACAATCAATGTGCCCCCCTGGTTCCATAAGGTAAGAATTCGAAGCATGATCATTTTGAAAAAAAATACTTCCTCGTGCTGATATCACTAATATCAGTGATATCTTCTCGAAAAGGAACTTATGTCACCTCTCGGGTAACATATTGAAGTCATCGAGTCAAAGGTGACTGGAGACACTACCTTCTCAAACTCTGAGGGGACTGTGAACATTCTCCTATCTCCCAACATTGGAAGATAAAAAAGAGTAAAAATTATGCATGAAGGTAAAATCACACATAAAAGAATACAGAATAGGGATTCCACAGGGAAGTATTACAGGTCCAATTTTATTTGCAATCTTTATGAATGACATAATATCAATATTAAACAACGATAACAGCCTGATAACCAGCTATGCTGATGATACCAATTTACTAACTTCAAGTTCCAACTACCCAGAACTTTGCGAAAATTCTAAAAGTCTAGATCATAAGCAACTGACTGGAAGTGAAATAACAGAAAACCAAGTTTTTGGGATGCACTTTTAGCAATTGATCTCAAGTGATTTTCCCAAGAGAGGTTATTGCTGATAGTAATACCAAGCATCGAAATGGATATGTTCAATGGTATGGTTACTCCTGACAAGCTCATGTTGGGCACAGTGAGATCGGCTTATCTAGAGAAAATGCATGCTTGTGTTTTGTTTGCATTGAAATCTACCAAGTTATTGGATCCCCATTCGAGAATTGTTTGCCAAATCCATATTTATGTTGTCAACATTTCTTACTCGTTCGTTTCTTATTTGCCTGGCTGGTGTTGGAGCCCTGGAAGAGAAGGCGGTATGGAGGGTACTATCATCCGCGAAGCTGTGTACTGGACATGAAGTTGCTTCCAACAAATCGTTTGTATGGAGTAGAAATAGCGCTGGTGCTAGAATTGATCCTTGCGGAACACAAGCATTTATGATAAGAGAGTCAGATGAAACTCCGTCGACCACTACATGGAGAGACCTGTTTGAGAGAAAACTAGCTAGCAGAGAAAATAGCTGGGGAGGCACGCCATAAGATGGAAGCTTGGCCAGGAGTTCGTGGTGCCAGACTCGATCGAATGCCTTGAAGATATCAAGTGCCACGGCTAAGGTCTCACCATATTTTTCAATAGATTTTGCTGACATATATGTGAGACGTAAGCGAGCAGGTCACCAGTTGATCTCTGATGACGGCAGTCATATTGTCTATCGTTGATAATACCTGACTGTTCCAGGTATTTCATGAGCTCGATGTTGATAGCTTTCTCCATGATCTTTGAAATAATAGATAGCAATGCGATTGGTCTGTAGTAGCTAAGTAGAGTTTTTTTGTCTTTTTTAGGAACTGATTGTACTCTTGCAATTTTCCAGTTGGACAAGAATGTTCCCAATTTGTGAGAGTAGTTGAACAACTTGCAGAGAACATGTGTTAGTTCGGGAGCACATTTCTTGAGAATATTCGGTGGGATTCTGTCGGAGCCACAAGCTTTGTTGGTGTTGAGACCCAATAAATTCTGCCTTATAGTACGTTGGCGAAAGGTGATCTCGGGTATATGACTGTCAATTGACGTTATGTTTGGAGGTTGTTTTCCCAATGAATCCAGAGTTGAATTTCCAGCAAATAAATGCGCAAAAATGTTGGCTTTCTCATGGGCAACATCTCGAAAAATTGGAATAGGCTGAACTTAGGGTGATTAACTCAATTTGGTAACTGTATCTGCGTATACGACGGCTCAATTCCTATAGGCTTTAAAGAAATTATTCAGACAATAGCTGAAATTATGGTATGCGATTCAACACCCAATGAGAGAGAGAATTTCTCTTGTCTTCCATCTTCCTCTTCGGTACTCCTTCTGGAGAAGTACCTATTTAGCCAACACAAATTGGCGAAAATGTCATCATGCCAAAATCTTTGGGGCAGAGACCACGTCATAGACAGGGTGATTGATTCAGCGGTTGATACAGTCAAATATCCTGGATTTCACGAGGCCAAGGACTAGGCTACAAATGATAGATCTTCCTAGGTTGTAAAACGTTAGTATGATCAAAATTGTGTTACCACCTTCGGTTTACCTCATTCAGGTGTTCAGTACAATTCGTTGAAAATGAGGTCACGAGTTTGAGAGGAAAATTTACATCACAGTGAACGTTTCGTCCTTCATCAAGAAATCTTCAGGGCATAATAGCATGAACAATGACCAGAGAAGACACAAAAAAGTGGAATCGAAATATCGAAACCTTATTATTTATTTTCCAGTGGTAACCAGGGTGGCACCAACCCCGCCGACAGTCCTAAGGGCGCGGATGACCTAAGCACCGCCGACACGGCAGACACCTCCAAGGATGCGCAGAAGCCGCCTTTTTGCGAGATCCAGTGACAAAAGGTCGTATTGATACTAGTTATTATACAGGGTGTTTCTCAAGTACGTGTTTGAAATTCAGGAGCATATGTTGCTGACGTCAAAACAAGAAAAAAAAGTTCGTAGAAACATACCTATGTCCGCAATTTATTCGTTTCTGAGATACAGTGTGTCAAAGTTTGATTATTATTCCGTTTTTGTGAATAAATTCCAAAATATTCGTGATATTCACAGAACTCAAAGACGAGCGGGGAATTAGCATTTTTACTTAAGTAATGCTCTTCTATTAGACAGAGCTGTCGGGGCTTGAAATTTGACAAATCATAGATGAGATTTTGTGCAATAATAACACAACCAATGTCATTGTGATATCAGATTCGGAAATATCATGGATGACATACAAAGTTCCTCATTGATTTACCGAACAAAGTAAAACAAGAGTCATTCTGTGTAATAGCTATAAATAATATATAATATATATAATAGCACAAAGCTTGTTGACGATATAAATTTACCTGAGGTAAGACATTCCTGGAATTTGTTCTTTATCTTGTCACCAAATCATTCATTTTGGAAACAGTGTACACAAATCAGTCAATGAATGTCGAATCAAATAATTAATGTTCTTGTCACTATTACTACATCACCCATTACCCAATCTAGGGTGAAACACCAAACCACTTCAATAATCTCAAATTCACTAATGAAAGACATTGAACGCGAAGCAAAACACTGAAAAACTGAAACTAATCCGGCTCTGTCTTGAGTCTACGTCAGACAAAATGACAGGCTCATTCTCACATAGTGGCCAGATGAACCCGTACGAAATTTGAAGTTTATAATAATTCAGCGATCTCTTTTCTTAGCCATTAAAATGATATCAGTGAGTCTATGGATTTTTTCGTGAAAATTTCATAATATGATTTCTGTAAAGCTGTTGATCATCCAGTGACAAGAAGTTTTGTAAGAAATATGAACTACACCCTAATGAATAAATAATATGAGATTTGCGTATAAAAATATATAACTGACAATGTTGCCGACAATGTGCGCATGATTATCATTGCCTTAAGCACACTGGTTGTATCAGATTTCAGCGATTTATCACACTTGCATCTTGCATTAGCCTTCTAGGTCTGTGGTCACTAGCGTCTGGAGAAAGGAGGACGTAAATGACCAACGTAGTGGGAGAACCCCGCCAAGCGCGATAGTGTAGTGTTGCCAGAGCTGGTACATTTGTATAGATTCAGTACAATTCATACCCTTTAGTACATTAGTACATTTCACCCAATTCTGGTACAATTTCATGTTTTGGTCAATACATTCAGCTCAAGTTTAGTACAATTGAACATTTAGCTACAAATAAAAACCAAAGTTTGAATGACTGGCAGATTATCTGCTCATTATCTCCTCAGTTGGCCTGACTGAGCTGTTTATGGATATCAGCCAACCAGCTGGCTGACCATAATGAGAGACATCATCAACTTCAACTGTCACTACTGTCAGTACAGTACTGTTTCCTGATGGTTTTTCAAATATTTGATGTTTAGTCATCTTTTATTATGGATGATATGCTGCATATATTGTGTATCTTTCTAGCTATTATTTAAGGATCTCACCAATAGGAAATGTTTTTTTCTGATTTTTCTTCATATTTCAATGAAGCTGGTCATATGTTCTAAGGATGACACTGTATATGTTTTATATCTTCTTGGCTACGTACTTGATGTGAAATTTTTCATTCCATTGACTTTTTTCACGCTTTTTTATATATGATGAAGTCATTTCTGACAATGAGAAATAAAAATTATCGTTCATCAGTTTTCTCATCGATTTTTTCAATATTCGATGTCTGGTACATTCCACTCGATTTTAGTACAATTCAATAGTGATTTCAGTACAATTAGCTTTTTTCCTTCTGGCAACACTAAAAAAAAGTAGTTGGTTTTTGGCGGGCACAGATTGATCACCTCGTGCGGGAAGAACGTAGGAGCGAAACAATATTATAATATTCACCCTGTAACTTTTTGAATTCTTTTCTCAATTCGGTGAAATTTCGCTCGAATCGTTTATTCATGTTTCGGAATGTTAGTCTGAATACTAGTTCCTGAGGAAAGCTGATGAATTGATCATTATACAGGGAAAAACAAAAGTTACTTTATCACCCTTCACTTCTTTACGCCCTGTGGGAAAGGTGAGTGGTTAAACCTGGGTTCATCATGTTTTGGACTGACGTGTGATCCCTTATCGACACAATGGTTTTTATTTCACGTCTATATCCAGTTTTTGAGAGAAGATATTACAAGTGTTTTAAGAAAGTATGTTTTTTTTTTATTTTTATTAAGAATAATTCAGAAAGTATGGAATTTTTTAATTTTCATTATCCATATAATTCAGAACCTATAGAGAATCTTAGAGATTAACTCCAGATTCGCCTTCGTTCGGCATAGTCAGAGACTCTTTAAGAGGTACGATTCGCTGTTCAAGGAGAATTTCAGGCAATTTTACAAGAACACTTGAGAAATTTGATCAAATCGATGCCACGGCGGTTGAATGCTGAAATTCAAACTTGAAGAGGGCATACTCGTTGACTACCAAGTCTGCTTTTTATTTGCTTTTTGTAATTTACTGGTAAGCGCTATGAAAATTAGGTAAAGATAAGTTATATTAATTATTTAAATTGTTGATCGATAAGTTCATGTAGGTTTTGATTATTTTTAACGAAGATTAAAAAATGCCATACTTTCTCAAAACACTCGTATCTTCTCTTTCAAATGAGATATTGACGTAAATCAAGAACTATTGTGTTGATAATGGATCACACTTTAATTCAAATGAAGGCCAGTTCAACCACTCAAATTCGCCACAGAGCGTTAAAATGTAATGGGTGAAGAAGTAACTTCGGTTTTTCCCTGTATAATGATAAAGTAATCAGCTCTTAACGAAAACTAATAGTTAGGATAACATTCCACAACGTGAATCTGAGATTTGATCAAAATTTCACAAGAATCGGACGCGGATTAAAAAAGTTTCAGGGTGAAAAGTTTGGGCCAATATTTTGGTAGCCGGTTTTTTTTTTGCCGGTAGTGTATTATTCTCTACTACCTTGGTTTATGAGTAACTATCATGTTGGTAATAATTGATTTGTCTCTGCAAGCAGGTCTGCGAGTTCGTGAGGACTCGTAAGAGCAAAACCCCCGAGACGGAGAAACCGCCCAAAGAGAAGGTCAGATGGTCCTATAGCCCCGAGGATGGCCCACGGTGCACCACGGTGGAGGCTGTTCTGGGCGGGGGCAACAAGAAAAAGGACAAGAAGAGCCCCATGCAGGTATGAGGAAGGCGAGACTGCGAAGGGGAGGTGCTCATCTAGGCGGCGGTCTCATTGTTTGGGGTGGTTTGTTGGGAAAGGGGGAAAGAAGAAGGAGTAGAAGAGCCCGATGAGGGAGTTGAGACAGTTGAGGGAAGGTTTGTTGGAGGGAAGGAAGCTGATTGGGGCTCTGGGTTCCTGGGGGTAGCGTTTGGTTAGTGTAGTTTACTATTGAAATGGGTCACTCATTGGGAGGTTAAAATGTCTTCAAAATATCGTTATCAATTATCGAATGAAACTGAAAGTTTTCTACCAGAGTGAGAAAGAGGCTAGAAGAACCAAGGTACCTGCCGAGAAGCGTATACCTAGACCAGCGAATCTTTCAAATTTCAAGGTTATCATAAAGTTATTCGTGGCCAGCGTAGCCTCGTGGTTAAACCGTCAAGGTTCTATCCACGTTGGATTGCCGGTAGGGGTGTTCGATTCCCACCACGACCGCAGAAATTTTTCTGATGGCCTAAGAAAGTGTTTGGGATCACACGTTAAAAGGTAAGACCCCCGTCATTCCTTGCTCCCACAAGTCTCCTGGAGACTTCTGAGGGTTGCTTGTAAGGGGGCAACCGAATGATGGATAAGAACAATTTTATAAGACTTATAAGGTAATATGAGGGGGGAAAATATCTCTTCTGCATAAAAAAGGAAAATACTTTCAACCTAACTTGTCCTGAATTAACCTTTTTCCTAAAAAGTATGTTTTTGAAATATTAATTGAGTGAAAAAATGTTTTTAAAAAATTGATGCCCCGCAGGGATTGAACCCCAGTCACTACATCAGAAGTCAGATACACAGGCCACTAAGATATCGCCATACTCGTAGTTATCTTGTAGTATATATAGTCCTAGTTTATCTATATGAAGAAGGAAGAAATGTCATGTGTTGTGGGTGACGTGTTTGAAGATTCGCTGGATCGCTGGTTTAGCTAGACGCTTGTCCAAGGAAACTAGTGGTGTGACGTCACAGGCCCGCCTGAGAAAAGGTAGCGGTTACAGTGAGTGTTCTTGAGTACTTACACTTACAATATGATTACAACACCTTTTCTAGTTGTATCAATTGCATTTTAGAATAGTCAACTGAAAATCAGAAGGCGTCAATTATATCACAGAATAATCAATTGAATTTCAGAAAGTAGTTATCAATTGTATTTCAGAATTATCAGCGTCCATTGTAGCTCATTTGATATTTTCTGAAATACAAATGACACTTTCTGATATTCGATTGACTATTCTGAGATAAAATTGACGCTTTCAGAAGTGATTACAACTGGAAAAGAAATAGAATGAAATGCCGCTCAAAAATGGGATGTATGTTACAGGGATATGGATCATTATGTATAGTTGACATCATATAAAAAAGAAAGTTCATATTACTATAAACAACATCGATTCTCAATTGTTTTCGTATCTATTCTAGTTTACCATGTTATGTGGGATACCCTGTACAAGGTGCAGGTATACCTGATGTTTCAAATCATGTGCCCAAGGATCAAATGAGATGCAATCCATTTAAATTTCAAGAAAATGATTTCAATATTTCGTCAATATTTCGGAGTTGGTAATTCATGACGAAAACTGCACATCAAAAACTTGATTTTCAACGTTTCTATAGGGCTTCGAAATGTGGCTATTTATTGAAGAAGATCATGGATAAGTCCGAAACGGGTAATCTCATACCCGGCGCATGTTATTATATATCATTGACCTAATCTTTCTGAGCTCTATCCAAGGTAACGGTTGTAGATGATAAAAAAGAAGCTCATGAGGGTTTTGATGGAAAATCTAAATAACGGAGGAGAAATTAGACGAAGCAAATGACAGGTGACATTCAGAATGAAGAAACGAGAAAATAGTACATTGCCTTTTTAATAAAAATATGATTGGTATCGTTTTGAATTTTTTTTTCAAGTGGCACATTTCACTTGTTGGTGAGTAGAAGTTGAGCAGAGATTCATGTACAATCGATATATTAAGTTATCAACAGGAGCCCAGAGCACATTCAGCCCAAACTATTTATATTTCCATGAAATTATTGTATGCTTGGGAAATTGGACCGAAGTAGGTTTTTGTTGAATTTATCGCTATTTAAGCTCTCAAACGATAAAAGTATAGTAATTTTGAATGACCTTTCTATTTGATAAAATACAATCCCAATAAACACAAGAACGTGGAAAGAACGTTGGATGACTCTCATGTGATGCAACCATCAAGGCGATAGGTCCTTTTATTCTGGTTCTATGGTGGTTCTATGGTAATGAACGCTAGTCTATCTCGTTGAATCAACCGCATCTTCAGCATAGCAACATCATCACTATAACGTGAATATATATATACTACTGCAATTTGACGTTTTCAAAACGTTTAATTCCTTTCAAAGAAGTCTATATTGAATTAATAACTTCAAATCAATGCCACTAGGTACTAGGTAATTTTGAATTCATATGTCCACTCAAGGGTAACTTTGAATCAATCTTGGTTGAACTGAAGTTCAATGAATATTGGAATACTCTAGCATTTCAATTCATAGAGAAACATTGTATTCCATATCAAGTCATAAACGTTGGTGGGAAGTTGACTGTTCAAAACGTTATAGACACGTTCCTTTCATTATGTTGAATAAGTAAGATTTGAAGAAAAACATTAAACAAAACATTTGGCAAAGGTTATGCAGATGTGATAAAGGTTAACGTCACATTTTTAAAATTGAATAATTGTTTGAAAAACTACTAGGTATACACTTACCTCAGAAGAGAAAGTGACAATATAGTTGTCTAAATAACTTTTTCCGTCGACCTCGTATTAACGACTAAGTTTAATGTATATGAAATCGTTCATTAATGACCCCTATTAATGAACGATTTGTCTATTAATACACGATTGTTTTATAGGCAACCAAACATACACCGCGTGCATTCATTGTTTATGCTATAACTAGCGGAATCTGCATTTAAATCGAAAATATGGATTTCATCGACGATTTTCCGTCAACGGGTTCGCCTTTCCAAGTTTCTGAAACGATTTTAATCCCTGTTTTCTAACTCAAGGAATTTATCTCCTATGTTGATCATTTCGACAAATGTCAATTGACACTAATGTCAGTAACAAGACTACTGGGTGATTCTTAGCAGTTTCCAGATGAATGATGGATTCGCGAACCAAGTTTTCTTCATTGCAGGAGAAATGAGAAATATAGTCGACGGAAAAATTTTGTAACCAACTTGTATATTAAAAGGCGATTAATGATCTCGAACATTAACGCGCTCGCTTCGCTCGCACGTTAAAATATCTCGATCATTAATCGCCCTCATTAATAAACTAGTTGGTTAAATAACTATTATAGAGTTGATGAATGTTAATGCAATAAAATATTCGTGGTGAAAGAGGTTAGCATAGCAATAATTGTTTTGTTGTGGAGTCTAAAAGTATAAGCAATCAAAAATATCATCGCAAGATAACACTAAATACAATTTTCAACGAATTAAAAACGTGATCCTTATGAAATCAAATTGACGTAAATATCTTTGAGATATTGATTGTATAAAGACTTCTAAACTATGATGAATATATTCAAACTATTTGCAATGTTGCTATTTTCTAATTAAATATGCGTTGAAAAAAAAAACGATGAAGACAACAACTTTCACAATGATTGTAATTAATAAGCCAAAAAGTGTTTAGTTGAATTCGGGTTGAAGAAGTTACTTTTACGTTACGTTTATTCAACGTCCAGATCCCAAATTGAACGTAGGTGTGTTTATTGGGTGAAAAAGAGTCGAATGTGGCTTATGGCTGAGATAACCTAGAACCAAAATCACATTATTGTAAATAAAAAATTATTGAGTAGTTCTGAGGTTTTCAAAACGAAAGATATTCAATGAATAATATTGGTAGGTATAAGTTAGTGATTTTATTCCACATGATATGGAATAATGTACTGAGTGATCTTGTTTTACTTCGTCAATATTTTCTTTATTATATATTGTTGACTATTTCAAGTCTGTGATAGTTCTATAGAGTAATAAGTTTCCACTGTTGAATTTGTGGTGAATGATATATACAGGGTGTCTCTAGAAGGTTTTTACAGAAACTTACCACATATTTCTCAGACCAAAACGACGAAATCAAAGTCTACGCCGATGGAATAATATTCATCATAATCGTGGTATGGGTTTTATTGAGCAATAAAGCTATCCAAATTTGAGTATAAGATCGCATAAGCAGTTTCAACGTTATGAAGAAAAACGACTGGAAACGTCTAGCCAAATTAAGCAACTTTGTAGTGAGGTGAATTTTCTTGCACCAAACTGTTCTGATCTGAGTAGAATGTGGTAATTTTTTGCAAAGACCTTTTAGGGACATCCTGTTTGATCCAATTTTGAATGGACTATCATTTTATGTCTATGAATGTATAAGTCTTGATCAGTACCACTTCTCGATCGATTTCAAGAATATACTGGATATGTTTCGATATGCTTGAGCTGAACGACATGTCACTTCTCAATGAAGTAATTTTTAGTAATTTTGTATGATATCGAAACATTTTCAGTAGATAAAAGTATGTTCCAGCTAAAAATTGTCACTCCCTAAACAAATTGAAATGAACATCGTGTGAAAGTGAATCGAACTGTTTGGAACTAGGGTAGAGAATTATTGTGAATACTATTTCCAAATTGTTCAATATCATATATTGTTTGTTACATATCTGAGAAGTCTTAAATTATCTGGAGTGATAGGGTAACTACCCTCGACAATATGCCTAGCGCAACACCCGATTTATCGAACCGATTATACAGTGTGTCCCACTTACCATGCTCACCATGGGTATCTTTTTAACGGTGAGAGATACGAGGTCGGTTAAATGACACCAAATGTGGAGTTTGTCAAGGCCAACTATAGTGTGAAAAAATATTTTCATAAAATCTATTCGTTTTTGTTTTATACGCAAAAAACAGATTTGGATCATTTTCATGTCTC